GATTGTTTTGATGAAAACCAAAGCTAATAAAATCTATTTTATTTCATTAAATAACATAAAAGGCGAGATGGCTTAGTGGCTTAAAGTAGTGTTAAGAGATCTAACATTATTATTAATTGATCTAGATTCAAGTCACACTATAAGCATTAAGAATCTTTTTTTAGTAGAAAACGTTTGGTCAAGGGGTTTAACAAGTGGGATGGGTTTAACGAGTTTGGGAAATTGAGAGGAAAGGTTAGACGGATTTGGAATTAGGGATACATAGGCGGGTTTGGGAATGGGTAAGGCAATTTGCATGGCTACCCTACCCGTTGCCATTCCTACTTCTCGGCATCAACTTATTGTTATACAGATATAGTCACCGACGTGGTATCAAGAGGATGGCAACAACTGTTGTGGCAGAGATGGATGATACAAAGTCCATTTTGAATGCCAATGTGTCTCCTGCCACTATTGATTACGTCCATGGGCCAAAGTTGTTGTCACAAATAAAGATTTGAAGGATTCTAACTCAAACTATCTTAGGGATGATTGCTCTGAGAACTTTGAATCAGTTTTCTGAGATGCCCCCTCTATTGTTGGCGATGGTGACAAAGAAAGGCTCCAAGAAGTCACGCCGATGGAAGGTGTGGAACATTTGGGATTTGATTCACATGCACAATAATGTAGAAACATACGGAGTTTGAGGAATAGTGGAGGGCAAATTCAACATTTCATTTCTTTCCATTGGCACTTAACGACAATGTCAATTTTTAGAAACAATAAGGGTACTTTAAGACAATATGTAAATAGTAAGAGTACAGTTAGTTGATTTCACAAATGGTATGAGTAGTTTAAGAAATTTACCCTAAAAAATAGCTGTACACAAGGCAAGTGCACACTTACTAGTTATAAAAGGATACAATCATAATGCTTTGGAGGAAAGAAAAGCCTTTTGAACTTAAATTTATTAATATACATGCATCATATATATGCATATACATATAGAAACATATATAGATGAGTGATTGTAGATACACATGTACACACATGCATATAGCCGAGATAAGTATATATAAGTAATTGCATACATAAATACATATTTATATAACATTTCTATGTATAAATATGGAGTTAAGCTATAGGTGATTTGAAGTATTTGAAATGGAGATGGAAGCCGTATGGTTATAATCTTCATAGCTATGCAAATTGTGCCTTGATTTTTGTTTTTGTTTTTGTTTTTTTTTTTTCTTTTTTGAACTTTTTTTGTTTGGCCTTGTAAATACAATTTCAAAAGGATCATACACTTTTTAAATGCTCTAAAGCTAAGCAATTACCAATTTCAAGTGGGATGTCACCAGAAAAGATTTGTAAGTTACAAGATTTTTTAGATTTGTTTTCATTTGAATCCTCTGTACAATCTATGTTAGTGGATAATGAACTCACCCACTATGACGTGCCTATACTGCGGAAGAAACAAAGCTCAAAATCGATTGATGGTACCATTCGGTTGGGGGGGCAACCCCATCTTAAAAAGCAAGCATGTGAGTTTATTTCTCCCATGGAATCAAACTTGAAATCTGAGGCTGTGGTGGTAGGGCCCAAACTATCCCATCACAATCCATGAAGCTATTTTGTTGGAACTGTTAGGGGGGAGGGAATCACCGGATAGTTTCATACCTGAAATGACTCCTCCAACAGCATCGACCAGACATATTCTTTATCTCGAAGACAAAAAACAAAGTTGCTAAATCACAATACCTTCTTCATTCTCTTCAGGTGGAGTCTGGTTTGGTTGGGCTACTACAGTTTCTCTCACTCTACAGAAAATTACTGATCATGCTATCTATTGTACTATTCAAAACATACATCATTGTCTACAATGGGACTTAATCTGCTATTATGTCCATCCTTCAACACAGTCTCGTTGGGCTTTTTTTATTTGAACTAAAAGATTACAAAGATCATGCCACGAAGCCCTAGTGTGTTTGTGGTGAACTCAATATGATTGTAAATGCTCATGAGAAACAATAAACGATCAACTAATCACCTAATCAGCCAGAGGCTCGATCGTTTCATAGTAACATCTGATTGGATAGAGGCTTTTCCACAGGCCCATGTTCAACACCTTCTTGCTCTCCGTAGTGATCACCATTCCATTCTACTGAATATAAAATGCAAATGGCATAAATACTCTAAATTGTTGTGGAGTGAGGAGAGCTGGGTGTATGAACCTGAGCATGGCTCTGCAAATTCTCTATGAATGGGGCCATAAAACTTGTGGTAATTTCGGCTTTACTTACTATCAAGGATATGGAACAATAATTATTACAACTCCAATTATGATGCCTCTATCACTCAAGAACGTCTCCTAAGACAAGAATTAGAAACTTGGTTAAATAGAGAGGAGCGTTATTGGAAACATAGAGCCTGAATCAATTGGTCCATTAATGGCGATCAGTGTACTCGTTATTTTCATATCATGGCTTCTAATAGGCAATGACGTAATCAAATTCATTGTCTCAAACGTCCAGGTGGCTCTTGGACTACAAACCACATGGACATTTCTCACATGTTGCACACTCATTTCCAGCAACTATTCCATTCATCCTATCGTACTTGTCGGATTTTGCATCAACGATTCCATCCAGAGGACTACGGCAAGGCTGTCCATTATCCCCCTACCTGTTTATCACGTGTATGGAGGTGCTTTCTTGACTCTTTGAGCGCAATCTTAACAATGGCCATCTTCATGGATTCAAATTTGGCAACTCTAGAGTTCGTCTCTCCCATATAATGTTTGCAGATGACCCTTATATTATTTGGACGTTGCAATCATCGTGAAGTCTCCACCATCTTACATATATTAAACACTTTTTGCCGATGGTCAGGACATGATGTTAATTTCAGCAAATCGTCGATCTACTTCAGTCCTATCACACATAGACGTGTTAGACAACTCCTCACCTCACGATTTGGTGTTTCCATTATGCAGCGCCATGAGATATATCTTGGCGGCCCTCTTTTTATGGGAAACTCAAGAACCACTAAATGGTCTTTCTTGGTTGAACATCTGAAAGCAAAGCTTTGTAGTTTGAATAAAGGAGTGTTATCTCGTGTGGGCAGAACCACACTCATTAAATCTACTTTACAATCCATCCCACAATATGTAATGCAGATGTATCTTCTACCCAAACAGATCTGCTTGAAAATGGATGGCATTTGTAGAGATTTTTGGTGGTTTGACTCCCACACAAATAAAGTGCATCTCCGCGATCTTGGAACCATTTTACCCGTTTAAAAGAAGATGGTGGCTTGGGTTTTCGGGAATGCCATATAAAAAATCAGGCATTGATCATTGAACTAGGTTAGAGATTTCTTACTTCTCCTTCTTCTCTATGGGTTAAGATCTTGCATGCTAAGTACTTAAGATCCAAAAATTTTTGGGAACTACCCAACATTTCTACAGGCTCATATATTTGGCAGGGGCTGTTGCGTTGTAGAGAACACATTAAAAAGGGCTATACTTGGTTAATAGGTAATGGCTGGGACATTGATGCATTGAGAGGTCCTCCCTATTATTCAACACTGGCCTTCTCATCCTATGAAAGTAGCGGAGCTGATTGATTAATCGACAATGACTTTGCGAGAAGATCTATTAACATCTATTTATGATTCAACTACTATTGCCTTTATCATCTCCATCACACTTCTAGTTGCTACTAATGTAATGAATGACAAAACTTGTTTGTTCCCCTACTCCACATAGTAGGTATACCTCATCTTTTGGATACCGTTTATTTAAAGATGACCAAGCCAGCACATCTAATTCATACTACATTGCAAGTTAAGTAACATGGAAGAAGTTCTGGAGTCTTAACACCATGAGCTCAAAACTTTTGCTTTTCATCTGGCATATGTTACAAGATGTTATTCCAATTAGAACTAGATTCAGTAAGGCTTTATGACATATTGGCAACTTATGTCTATTATGTGAGCAATCAGAGGAGGCCAATGAGCATCTATTCCTCCATTGTCCAATTACTCGGTTAGTGTGGTTTGGGTTAGACATCACTTTCACGCTCGACTCCTATCCCCACCAAAGTGTTAATGAGTGGATTTCTGAATGGATTTCTCGGCACTAGGACTCCAATGAGAACCACCTCCCTCTTTGCACCAAGTTCGTCATTATACCGTGGAACATATGGCTTGTCTGTAATGCTCTCATCTTTCAAAATCAAGTTTGGAGACCTGAAATCATTATCTACAAAGCTCACACTCAATGGATGCTACTTAATGAAGTTGCTTCCCAAATCTATGCTCTTCAAGCATCTGATGTTGGTGCTATGACTAAAATTCAACAATCTCATTGGACTCCTCCACCCACTGGCTATGTCAAAATAAATTTCGATGGAGCAACTTCATCTAATACTTCAGGAGCTGGTATTGTGACGCGGGGAGCAAACGGTGCTTTTCTATTTGCTCCTGCTATTCCCTTGGAAGCTTCTTCAGCTTTGCTTATTGAGACTACAACTCTTTAGGAGAGCATCAATTTTGTCATTTCTTTAGGCTTAACCTCCGTAATTTTTTTAAGGTGATGCAAAATTTGTTATTCATCTCTTGTTGGATGATTCTTCTACACCTCAATGAAGTATCCACACTCTCATTATGAATTGCAAGAGACATCTTGCAATCAAGTTGCACATTGTCTTGCCAAGCATGCTATTTCCTGTTCTTCCTATGTAACTTGGTCTTTACCTCTTGGCTTCCTAATTCTTAATCTGGAATATGATGTAACTGAGTAATTTATGAATTTGCCTAAGGGCGTTTTCGGAAAAAAAACCGTATTCACAAGTGAATATTAGGAATTGGGATCTGCTCCTCACATAGGGCGCCTCACACTGAACTCACAGACACATCTCACCATGCATTCCCGGGAATAATAATGTATAAATACGGGCGCCCTGTGTGAGTAGCAGATCTGGTCTTTAATATTAGCTACTGTCAGTGTTACCCCGGCTTTGGCATGCGGGTGAGAAAGGATAAAAAGAAACAAAAAAACAATAGGTTAACTGTAAGCGGGAAAAAGAGCGATGGGAGGAAAAGGGCGGAGGCGGAGAGAGAAAAACTTTCTAGCGGCTCATGGAGGCTACACTCGCCTCCCGCCTCCACCGAAACCCGGCGAGGTCGATGCTTTGCCTTCCAAACTCCGTCGGATCATGGAGTTCAATACAACCACCATCGCTTCCAAACCTCGAACAAACCAAGGTACTGCTTCTCTGTTCCTTCGAAGTTAAAGATTGATTTAACAAGAGAAGAATCCTCTTACCTTTAAAATTCGCTCTTATCTTTCTGGAACTTGTCTGACTCTCTGTTACTTCCTAGTTGTTTGTGAATTACTTTTTTTCTAATAGTGGTTTTTTTTTTTTTTTGCCTCATGCGCCTTTCAGAATCTTTACAGATTTCAACGGGCGACGAGCACAAGCGAAGGCCAAAACAAGTAAGGGGCTTACTTTGAGTTCATTAAAAGTGTCACGAGTAATTCTGAGTTCTACCAGTCATGCCTTACTTTTATTTCTTACTTTCTTAAATGGCAAAAACTATGATATGAAACCATTGTTGCGTTCAAACATTGCTTGGTTTTAAGCTCCCCATAGTCATTGTAATTGCGATGACGTGAAAAAAAAGGAAAATGGGTTAAGTTTTAATTTGGTATATTCAAACAAGGGTACCTTTATCTTTATTGATCAATTCACACTTTTGATCTCCCTTTATAGACTCCAATTTGGTCTTGAAAACAAGCCAAAAGTGACTCTTGCGCTGGGACTGACTAAGATAAGCCCATTTATAACCCTTAAAACACTCAAGATTGATTTGAACTCCTAAAACAATTCCATATATCCACTACTAGTCATACTAAAACTAAAGAAACCAAAAACAACTTCAAAATAGATAAACACTAGAAAGATTCAATTCTGATCATCAATTAATGTGTTGATAGCCCTACACCTTATCAGTAACATGGCCATGCGTATCTCGGAACAGATTGCATTCACATCTTGTTGAATAGGTCAATGTTTTAAAAGCAAAAAATGCAACTATAGTGTTTCCTACAGCCTGAGATGCAAGGCATGCACTTAAACAAAGCTGGATACTATCTATAAAAAAGATTTAAAAGTGAAAGATTAAATATATAACAACATGCAAACGTATATTCTAAAAAAATATTAAAATTAGAGCATCATGTTATTAACACAAAGTTTGTAGCGCTGTATGTTTAGGATAAACTATTTAAACTCTAAAAATCATACTACAATCTGTAATACTGTAAGCTACTTATTAAAACATTTTTTGATCATTAACTACATATTTTTTTGGTAAGTAATAGCAAATTTATTAATTAAAAATCAAAGGATACATAGAACAAACTCCCCACAATGAGGCACGAGGTGCAGCCTCTAAACTATACCACAAAGCTTACAGTTGAGGTTAGTTCATCAACACATAGCAGCAAATCAGGTGTGGCACATCCTGTAATGCTTGTGATCCTAGGCACAAGTTGCCTTTCAAAACTTGTATTGAATAGAAGATGAATTTCAAATATCAACTTCTCTTAATTCTTAAAAAAACTCCAATACGATCATGACCCTTTAAACTAATCAACCTATTCCTCAAACAAATAAGAAAACACAACACCATTGAAGAAAGCAAGAGATCTGGGCAAGTTCCAGCTTGTCCACGTGTCAAAAGTTTTTCACGTTTGAAAAATGGTCTGGTGTGCTGGTCCTACCAACAAGTTCAAGAAAGTGTAGAAGAAAAGAAGCTCAAAAGATAAAGGTATGAGTTTGAAAACTGCAGAGATTAAGGGAAACAAGTGTCAAGAGTCTCAAGGGATTCCAATACAACGGCCGCCAGCTACTGTAGAAGATTTGGAGTTGAGGCCAGTAAAGGGGTAATCGAATCAGCGAAAAGGGGTCAATTACAACTACATCATTCAGGGCGGGCGAGAAGTGGGGGGGGAGTGGAGATTGATGTTTTGGTTGATAGGGATGTCGAAGTGGGCAAGAGTTTAGGGCAGGCTGTTTTTTTGGGGAGGAGAGGAGTTCACTAGGAAAGCTTTTGAGAAGAGCAAGAGAGAAGAAAATGAGAAGAAGATTGCAATTGGGGGAGGAGGGGAGGCTTGGGATGAAGAAGGAGTCAAAGGAGATGGACAAGAAGAAATGCTTGATGAGGAATTTTAATCTGTTTGATCTTGGGAGGGCTCTCAACTATTTAACTCTATTTTGTGATCTTAAGTTGGTGTTTTATTCTGTTGTTTGTTTTGTGCTGTAGATGGATGGGTGTAATCTTAACACCCTGGTAGTTGTCTGTACCCAAGCCTTTTCTTTTAATAAAATTTTTATTTTTATTCTTGAAAGCCTTAGCCTTTTTATGAAGATAAGAAAAATCTATATCTCTTAACCTTTGAAGTATCATAACTAAAGTATAAATTTTCAATCATTCTAGTTCTGCATGTGTTTGGTGTTTCAAACAACTCCGTTGCAAAATTTCCCAGCGTCTGATTGGCCTTAGCCTTTAAAGCTTGTTGGATGTTTTTTACCATTTGATATATTTATTTGAAGGCTCTCTTTTGGTTCTAATGGAAAATTTTCCCACTGCTAGAATGACTTGTCTTAGAGCACATGGTTATAGTTTTCAAGGTGACTCTTGGCCCTCTAATCTCCTAGGTAGGATTGTTTTTTTTTTTGGATAGATCTCCTAGGTAGGATTGCTAAATCACTAGTCTCTAAAATTTGCATATAAGAGACATGGCAACAGTGGAGAGTGCCTAGAGTGGAGCCTCAACAACAACATTGGAGAATGTCTTTGCCCTTGAGGAGTTAGATAAGCTGTCTTTTCAATGGGAAGATCTAAAGCTCTAGGGCTGGATGGCTTCTCCATGGCCTTTTACCAGGAGTACTGGGACATTATCAAAGGAGATCTGTTGGAAGTTTTCAATGAGTTCTATCATGAAGGGGAAGTTTCTCGAGAAATAAATTCAACTTTCATAGCTCTGATCTCCTTTGCTGATCGAAAAAAAAAAGACTTTCATAGCTCTGATTCCCAAGAAGAAGGACGCAAAAAGTATCAAAGGATTTTAGATCAATAAGTCTAGTGAGAAGTCTCTATAAAATCATTGAAAAAGTCTTAGCTGGGAGATTGAAGGTGTTACCATTGGTAATTTCACAATATCAAAAGAGAGTTTGTTGAGGGAAGACAAATCATATAGATCAAATTTTGGTGGCAAATGAGTGTGTAGTGAAAATGAGGAAAAGAAGAGGAAAGGGGGTGGTGTGTAAATTGGATTTAGAGAAGCCCTATGATTTTGTTGATTGGTCACTTCTCCTTGAGAGATACTAGAGAGAATTGGTTTGGGTGAGCACTTTGATGGGAGCTCTATGGGAAACCCGGGAATGGTAGGTATTGGTGGTGTCTTTAGGCTCTGTTTGGTTTGCTAGAAAGAGGTGGGAAAGATGGAATATTCCTAAAATATTCCACTTTCCCATGTTTGTTTTGTGAGGCACACGAAAATGGGATGGGAAATAGAGGGACACACTTTCTCAAAAACTGGGATTTGGGGTTGCACAAAAACAGTGCGACCCTGGTGAGAAAATAAAGGGAAAGAGTATCGGTCTTGCTTGTTAAAAGAGTTTTTTGTCTGTTTTCTCCACTTCCAATGCCAATGCTCTCTCTCTCTCCAGTGTTTGATTTCCTTCTACCATTTTACTTCGATTAAGATATAACCTATTTTTTCTTGAAAAAACAGTGCTCTTTTCTTCTCTTCAACTCTCCATCTCTTACTCTATGTTATCTCCCCTGTCTACTACATGGATATTACTGTTATCCTAATACAATGATTTCCACCAAATGTTTCCAAACACCACTATCCTTCCTTCGATTAAAATTGTGATTTTCATAAATTATTTCCAAATGCACTCAACTCATTCTGATAATTAATTATTTTCAGAATTTATCCAACTATAGAACAAATAGATGCCCTTCAATTGTAACAGATACAATGCTCAAAGCCCAGAAACCAATAAACGAATCCCAACTTTGGCAAGCCAGTAGTGTTGAAGCCCACCTTTAAATCTCCTCTAAACCTGAAAAATTGCAATCACCCACCATATGTTCGACCAAATTCCCTGTCAAACACCTTTGCTTGGAATAGTCTCATCCAAGCCCATGTCACCAGTCATGATCCCTATAATCTAATTTGGAGCCTATGGGCACTTGAAATCACTACAGGAAGAAAAAGAATTTATGAATCATGATACTATAGGACAAAGTGGGTTAAAGTGCCTTCTCACAAATGCCATTTCATGGATAGCAATGGTCCGTTGTTATGTGAAAAATTATGTATTCAATGAGAGTTCGAAACTTTTTAGAGGGACAATTGATTTTTGGAGCTAAATAGTTTTATTTTCAACTCTGATTTATGTAATGTTTTCTCTCAATAATTTTCTCATAAACCAAATGATAGAAAATGAAAACTTCACACTTTCTCATCCCATCCCATCCCATCCTTTCCCATCCCACCCAAATCATCCCACAAACCAAACAGAGCCTTAGAGATTCCTCAAGCAAAATGATGGCTATGTATTCAGGACCATAAGGTTAGGGGATTTACTGAAGGCTGAACTGTTGGCACTGCTACAGGGCCTAAAACTTGCTAAACAATCAAATTTTAAAAACTTGGAGGTTGAAGGGGATTGAAAGCTGGTTGTATCTTGGACTACCACTAGGTGTAATGTACCTTGGATATATAGACATGCTCTTAAGCGAAATAGAAAGCCTGGCAAGGGACCTAAATGCCACTTTTACTTGGACAAGAAGGACTGCAAATGGGATGGTTGACACTGCTAAATAGGAGGTCTATAGACAGCAGTTGTTTTGGGCTTTTTGTAATCCATTTATTGAGCTTTTCTATTCAGATTTCTGATTCTTGGGTGAATGGAAGCCCTTTCTTATGTAACTTAATCTGTCATATTTTAATAAAATTAATTTCTACTCTCTGATAAAAAAAAACAAACATATGCTGCTTTTTTTTATCAGTAACAGGAAAATTTTATTAAGGTAAAAACACAGCTAGAAGCCAAGGGTAGCCTTGGTTACCCCCCATTGTAAATCCAATGCTCTCAACCCTAGAAAACCCTTGGTTCTTTAGCCTTACAACTGAGCCCAGAGACATTTGTTTTGCTAACTGATCAGCTAGACTATCATTGTATTCATGACCAGTTGGCATGGGCTCAGATTAGCCAAACAGTTGGGCTTCAGATCGATTGAGGTAGAACTTAGAAGGGGACTCAAAAGTAGTTATCTCTTGGGCAAATACAAACAGGCATATCCCATGGACTCTTAAGCGTGTTATAAGGGAAGTGGAACAGGTAACAAAGGACATAGGGGCAGAATTTAAGTGGATTAGAGTAGGACTGCAAATGGATTTGCTGACTCCCTTTC